TGCATATATCTGCTAATAACTCCAACAACTTGTGAAATGTCAGGTCTCGTACAGACCATTGCATACATCAAGCTACCAACAACATTTGCATATGGTACCCTTGATATATACTCCTGCTCAGCTTCATCTTTTGGCGACATAGTAGTACTTAGCTTAAAATGCAAGTGAAGTACTAACCGACTTAGTCTTCTCATCTATGCCAAAACGCTGCAGTACTCTCTTCAAATATTCTTTCTGAGATAAACAGAGTTTCTTTGAACGTCTATCTCTTATTATCTCCATGCCAAGAATTTTCTTTGCCTCACCTAGATCCTTCATCTCGAACTCTTTCTTCAGTTGAATCTTCAACTTATCAATTTCTTCCAAATTCTCGGAAGCTATCAACATATCATCAAGATATAGGAGAAAATATACAAAGGAACCATCTTTAAGCTTGCGCACACACAATGATCGTATTTGTTTCTCTTGTACCATTGCCGCAACATAAACTCGTCAAATCGCTTGTACCACTGTCTAGAAGATTGTTTCAATCCGTACAATGATTTTCCAAGTTTGCACACCATATTTTCTTTTCCAGCAACTTTGAATCCTTCTGGCTGAGTCATGTAGATTTCCTCCTCCAAGTTTCCATGTAAAAACGCAGTTTTTACATCCATCTGAACTAGTTCCAAATCCAACTGTGCTACCAAAGCCAATAAAATTCTAATGGAGGAATGTTTTACAACTGGAGAAAACACTTTATTGTAATCAATTCCCTCCTTTTGAGCATATCCTTTGGCCACCAATCTTGCTTTGTAGCGAACATCTTCTTGGTTAGGAAATCCTTCTTTCTTTGCAAATACCCATTTGCACCCAATTGCTTTCTTTCCCTTCGGAAGATTGGCCAATCTCCATGTATGATTTTGATGAAGGGATTGTATTTCATCATTCATGGAAATCCTCCACTTATCTTCTTCTGAACTTTGGACTGCGTCTTTATAAGTGGTAGGAACATCATCAGCTACAATTGAGGCGGCACAAGCAACCGTCTCTATAAGACGAACAGGTTTTGTTATGTCCTTTTTGGCCTGCTAGTTGCAATTGATTCAAGTTTGTTGAGGTTCCTGGGTTGGAATCTCCCTCTCTACTGGCTCTTCTTCCAGAGGATAATCTTCATTTGTTTCCTCTTCTGCTTCTTGTGTAGGAAAAATAAATTTTCCCTCAAACTCCACCTGCTTAGAAGCACCCTCATTTTGTTTGGTATCTTCTGTTACCTTATTTATCATAGCAGATTCATCAAAGGTAACATCCCTGTTGAATATTACTTTCTTTGTCATAGGACACCATAAGCGATATCCTTTGACTCCAGAAGTAATCCCCATGAAAATAGCTTTTTTTGCCCTTGGATCCAATTTTGACTCAGTCACATGATAATACGCAGTTGAGCCAAACACGTGCAAAGAGTCATAATCTACAGCAGGCTTTCCATACCATTTATCAAATGGTGTCTTGCCATCAATAGCAGCAGATGGTAAGCGATTAATGAGGTGGCATGTATATGTACCTGCCTCATCCCAAAATTCTTTTCCAAGCCAGCATTGGACAACATACACCGTACCTTCTCCAGCAAGGTCCGGTTCATACGTTCTGCCACTCCATTTTGTTGTGGTGTATGTCTGACAGTGAAGTGTCGGACGATGCCATCATTTTCACAGACCTAATTAAAATGATCATTTTTGTATTCACCTCCATTGTCTGTGTGAATATACTTGATCCTCTTGCCTGTTTGATTCTCCACCATCATTTTTCATTTGAGAAAAATTCTCAACACTTCATCTTTGCTCTTCATTGTATACACCCACACTCTTCGGGAAAACTCATCAACAAAGGTTACAAAATAGTGTTTCCCACCCAATGAAGGTGTTTTGGAAGGACCCCAAACATCAGAGTGTACATAATCCAAAATACCTTTAGTATTATGGATCGCTGTACCAAATTTAACCCTTGTCTGTTTCCTTTTGACACAATGCTCGCAAAACTCCAAGTTGCAAGCCTTTACTCCTTTTAACAATCCTTGATCTGATGAAGTTTTCAAGGATTTTCCTCCAGCATGTCCCAAGCGCATGTGTCATTGTCTGGTTGCTTCTGCCTCTTTTTCGTCACTGGATGTTACTGTCGCTGTCCCAATAACTGTACCACCGCGATAACGGTATATGTTATTGTTCTTCCGATTGGCCTTCATTACCACTAGTGCACCGGAGCATACTCTCATCACTCCATTTTCTGCAATGATTTTGAACCCTTTTGATTCTAGGGCTCCCACAGAAATGAGATTTTTCTTCAAACCCGGTACATATCGAACATCTGTTAATGTTCTGATCATTCCATCATGGTTCCTTAATCGTATTGAACCAATGTCATATGAGGTAAGAGGGCTGTTATCCACTGTGTGGACGACTCCATATTCTCCTTCTTGAAAATCCATGAACCAGTCCCTGTTGGGACACATATGATAGCTACAAACCGAGTCCATCAACCATATGTCTGATAATGTTGATGGCTCTGTTGTAACTAATAAGAAGTCTGAATCATCACCATCAGCTACATTTGAATCAATAATGGCCTTTCCATTGTTATGTTTGGCCTTATTCTTCAACTTCGAACAGTCTTTCTTCCAGTGCCCCTTTTCTCGACAAAAGGCACATTCATCTTTGCTGGGTCTAGATTTTGACTTGGATCTTCATTTCTTTGTCCTCGTTTGATTTTGAGGACGACCCCTCAAAACCAGTGCTTATCCTTCTCCGCCCTTCTGTTTTTCTCTCTTTCTTTGTTCATAGTTGTACAAAGCCGAACAAACTTCTCTGAGAGAAATTTCGTCATTTCCATGGAGTAGAGTAGTTTCAAGGTGCTCGTACTCATCAGGAAGTGACGCCAACAACATCAAGGCCAAGTCACCATCATCATAAGTTGTATCCATATTTTGCAAATCTGTGACCAACTTATTGAAACTGGTGATATGTTCATTCATCGTGGTACCAGGAACATAGGTGAAGTGAAACAGTCTCTTCTTCATGTACAATTTATTTTGACTGTTTTTCTTCAAAAATTTATCCTCCAGTGCTTTCCATAATTTACTTGCAGAAGTTTCCTTTGTGTATGGATATTTCTGCTCTCTAGCAAGGTAGGATCGAATGGTACCGCAAGCAACACGGTTGATAATTCTCCAATCTTCTTCTCCAATAACATCTGGTTTCTTTTCTTCAATGGCCAGATCTAGCCCTTGTTGAAAAAGGACATCTAGAACCTCGCCTTGCCACATCCCAAAATGTCCGGACCCGTCAAATATTTCTACCGCAAATTTCGCATTTGACACAATTCTTGTCATAAGCGAAGATGCCAATGATGACGTATTGTTGACACTTGATGTAGATTCTTCTTGTTTATTGTCTCCCATATTTGACACAAATATTATTTAATAGCTGACGACACAAATCAAGATTATTTCCTTTCTGATGTAGAAGATCAGACTAAGCTGCAACTACAGAGCATACTCAGACAGAACCTTGACTCAGTTACCAAGATAAATCTTTTCTGATGTGGAAGATCAGACTATGCTGCAACCACAGAGCATACTTAGACAGTACCTTGGCTCTGATACCAATTGTTGCGGAAGCCAAATGTATATAGTGTGAATGAGTCACAACTACTATACCAAAAATTGTGACAACCACCAAATAATAAATAAGACAATAAAGCAACAATAAAAGGAACACCAGAACTTACGAGGTTCGGCCAATTTTGCCTACTTCCTCGGACACAACTAATATTTTATTTCACTCCAAAAATACAAGTAAAATAATACTAAAGAGAGAAGATACAGATGCCTTAAGAAGATAAGAAGGCAAATGAGAGGTGTATCTAAATCCTAAACATTAGGTCTTCTTTTATAGGGAGAAATTCTCCCCAAATTAAGTCTCCCACCGATGTGGGAGTTTGCCATTTTCAACAATTGGCACAACAAAAAGTTTGCACGGGTTAGATAACAATTTATCATACCAGTATTTAAGAAAATAAGCTTAACCTTTTCAGCTTTGCGTGCATTCGAATGGATGTAAGCTGCCTTCTGTAAACTCGTGCATCCTAAATCTCTCCAAAAATTCAAAAGGCCTGCATTGAACAATATGGATAGCTCGGAATTGTCAGAGACTAATAGCTAAAATAGGAAAATATCCATTTCTCATCTATCAGTCAACGTGGAAGTTTGTCATTCCGGCATTATCAACACTACTATATTCTCATCAAGATTAGGTGATCTATTATATTTATTAAGGTGCCTTACAACAAGAATGGAAGAACGGGTTTGAGCTAACATAAAGTAGCTTAAAAAACAGAGGAGAAAACAGGGTGAAACAGGGATTGAGCTACACTGTCCAGGCTTTAGATATAAAAGACAAATCATGAATAACCGGACCACCCGAAGGAAGTAATTAACAGTCTGCTTTTCAATTCCATATTAGAGTTTCGACTGGTGAAGGGGAGCCTTGGAGCTACAGTAAATTTGTCTCCGTGTGACCTATAGATCATGGGTTCGAGCCGTGAAAGCAGCCACTAATGTTTGCATTAGGTTAGGCAGTCTACATCACACTCCTTGGGGTGCGGCCCTTCTCCCGGCCCTGCGTGAATACGGGATGCCTTATGCACCGGGCTGCCCTATTAAAGTTTTGACGGGTGTACAATAGAGGTTATGTCCCAAAGCATCTATAAAATCAACTTAAAAGAAAATAATAAGCCTGTTAAGTCTTACAAGACAGCTTCACGCGTGCGGCACAATCTGCGTTGATTGCTTTCCATTGCATCTAAAACATTGGATGTCTCTGGTCCTGCAGCTCCACCAGCCACAAGGGAAGGGACAGACGCACTTGGAGTCCAAATCTGAAAAGCAATACATGCACATGACTCTACGTAAATTTGTCATTACGAATAGTAACCACTATTCTCAAATACTTGTGCCATTTCTCTCTCACCTTAATGGTGCTATCAATTCCACTTGTAGCCACAACACAATCATATGGGTGGCACTGTACACAATTTACAACTGAATAGGGATGAAGGCCGAGACGTCAGACTAGATATAACATGGTATAACAACCACTGTAATGTA